GCATTTTATGGAATGTGCTGGAAGAGTGAAAATGCCCCCACTAGCACNAATTGGGGGCATGTAAGGATGTATAATTATATAAAGATAATGATGAGAATAGCTGGGAATTGTAACCAGGTCTACATCTCAGCCAAAATTAGGCTGGGGGGTGGGGAGGGTTTTAAAGGTACAGTGACTATATATGTATACTTTTTTGTTCTATTTTTTTAAAAAAGAATACATGTTAAAATTAAATATGTATATTGAAAGGGAATTATAAATACCATCAATATAAAATGGAGCTTGCTCAGAAGCTGAAATACACTAAGTAAATAGGAAATAGAGTGGGAAATAGAGGAGAGAGGTAAGGGAAGAAGAGAGGGATAGGAGAGAGGGCAAGAGGGGGGAAGAGGAGGAGAGAAATGAGTAGAAAGGGGAGAGGAGGAGAGAGGAAGGGAAGGTAGAGAAGGGAAGGATGACAGGGAAGAAAGGAGGTAGGGAGAGGGAGGAGAAAGGGAGAATAAAGTGATGGATAAAGTACAAATATGGCGTATGGAGAGTAGAAGAACCAATAATTGTCTTTGAGAGTTGATGGCAAGATAAATCGATGTAAACATTTAATAATACAATATGATGTTGGCTATGTATACATATGATTATATGTTATGAAAATGGAAAAAAAATAAAAAAAATATAACAACAAAAGCATCCTCAGTTCTGATTTTAAAACAGTTCTTCCCTTAAACATGAAACAAGCCATAACAGTTTAACTTTGGGAACTTGGTTTTGAAAATGGGATTAGCCCAATTAAGAGACAACACACACAGTGTAGGTATCATATAAGTGGGGACTCCCGTGCCCACCCCACAATCTATTTTCCTGCTTGTAACAGCTTATGGCTCCTTCAGAAGAAAGCTAAATCCATATTCAAATAGTTTAGTTAAGTGCTAGTTTAGTTAAGTGTGGGGAAAACATGCCATAAAGGAGAGGGAGTTCTCATTCTGTAATGGGTCATCCTACCTGTCTTTATAAATTGGGCTCCACCAAAATTCAGATCTCCCTTTCCACAACTTTATTAATCCCTGTTGATCAATAGCAATAGCTCTTAGACTGCTTATCCCGCCTATACTTATACCACTCCATAGTGCTATACAGCACTCTCTGAGCTGTTTACATCATTATATTGCCCCAACAATGTTTCCTCATTTTATCAACCACAGAAAGATGGAAGGCTGAGTTAACCTTGAGCTGGTCAGGATCAAACTCAAGGCTGTGGCAGAGATAGCCTGCAATACTACATTCTAACCACAGCTGGAACCTGTGGAAAGCTTTGAGTGAATCTTGAAAGCTATCCCTAACAACAGAAATTTTATCCTAGCTTACTTTTCTGCCAAGTGACAAACTGATGAACAGCGTTTTAATTATCAAGGAAAAGATATAAAGGAATTCTTTAGCTGTTGCCCTCTCTTAAAATATGTTCTGCATGGGTGAAAAGCTGCTGAACTAACAGAATAACAGAGTTGGAAGGGACCTTGGAAGGCTTGTAGTCCAACCCCCTGCTGAAGCACCCCTATACTATCTAGTTTCATCTAATTTGATTTTATCTAGTTTGATAAAAATATTTGAACAAGTGTTGTAAAGGCTGGAAATATACTAAAACACTTTCTGAATCTCTGCTTGCACATGCAATTCCAAAATTCAATCACTTATTTAAAATCTTCAAACTGTACAGAAAAAGATTTAGAAATTAAAGATACATACACCCATTTCTTAATGCAACGTGCTACTGTCAGTACCGAATTGTTATCAATTAATGATCCGCCACATACATGCCGAAATCGACCTGATGGAACACGATAAATCTGAAGACTAACTTGCCATGGCCATGCTCCAAGCTGAGCAACATGTCCACCTAAAGGCTGAGTCTCTGCTGTTATGTTAACTATTGCAGGCCTTGCTCCACATCCTGGAAATCAAAATGTAGTTACATTGTTAATTTTCAGTTATTCTAAAATAGTTCAAAAATCAACACCAAAATTTAAAACATACATAAAATAATAACCAAAGAGCCTTTTAAAAACTTATCCGATAGGAAATATTTGCTGTTATTGGACCAGATACTGTTAGATTAATGAGTCTGAAATACCACTAGCGTTTATTATTAGAGTTGTCCAACTTAATCATTTGAATTGAAGCAGCAGTAAATTCAAGTCAATTTGGCTAATACTTTGATCTGCTCCAGTCAATGGGATCAGCAGTAAAGAGATTTGGCGCTGTAATCCAAAACATCTGCAGGTGTTTAAATGCCTAATTCTAAACTCACAGTTCACAATTGATGCCTCAGTAAAACAAACCGAAAATAATTGAGTTTAATCTCATGTTATCAGAATAGAGTAATTGATACGAGTTCCCCCTTCCCTTGTAATATCTTTACAAAAAAATTTGTTAGGCTAAAAAAATTGCACAAAGTTATCCAATGAAATTGGTAAATCAGTGAAGTTTTGATTCCAAATCTTCCTAGTTCAACACTATACTGGCCTACACATTTTTATTTTGGTTGCAAATAGTATCTAGCAACAATGGAATGGCAGTTAAGGCATCAGGCTAGAAACTGGGAAACGGAGTTCTAGTCTATCTTGACTAGACCATCAGCTGGATGGCCTTGGCCAGTCACTTTCTCTCAGTCCTAATGAGGTGGTAATGGCAAACCATTTCTGAAAAATCATGCCAAGTAAACTGCAGAGATTTCTCCAATCTGAAATACTTACAAGGTTCTCATAAGAGTATTTGTATTTATTTATATTCCGCCTATATATATTAGACAGCAGGTAAAAGTTGTAACAGCCCTTTTATTTACAATTCCTACCCCCAACCCAAGCCGCTTTCAACATCTCCAAATAATGAGAAGTGTCAAACCTACAATTCTAGCAACAATACTTCTTTCATAATAAAAACAGCTGTAATGTAATGCTGATAAGAGATAGGTCCAAAGCAATTATGAATCCGTGTCCTTCAGGCTTGAAAACTTAACAAATTGAATGTGGCCAAATGGGGTTCTCAGGATTTCCTACAGGAGCGACAAAAGATTTACGGGCCGTGAGATAAAGTAATTGGGAAAACAACTACTCGGGACGGAATCTTAATAAAACGTATCGACAATTGTTGAAACGGCAGCGATCTACGCCGGGAAAGTGTTATTTCCTTCACTCATTTCAAAAGTAAAGAAGAGGGAGAGGTTCACACGCCCACAACCTAATTGCTGTATCGTCAATGACCCCCGCCGAGCAGACGTTTCCGACCACGGCCTTGTCCCTTGCGCGCTCTCGGCCAAGGATTCGCGCGAGCTCCGGTGACTGCTCCGTCCCCCCACCCCTCAACCTCCATCTATCCCGTCCTGAGCAGCACGTTGGCGATCAACGGCCGAACTCGACGGCCTGCTGGGACGGGGCTCACCGTCGGAAAGATTCAGGGGGAGCAGGGCCTTGGGCACGGCTTCCCTGAACAGCACAAGCAAAGACCAAAAGGAAAAGGCGGCGGGACAGAAGTTGCGTCTCATCGTCCGTCCAGGGAGCAAAATGGCGGCCGGCTTCGCGCGCGTTCTCCCAAAGAACCAAGGGCCGCTAAGGGTCAGGTGACAGGCAGCCTGGGAGCCACGGGTCTCCTCTCGGCGAGCCCCTGGCTAAGGCGCTGCCCTGGGGCAAATTGAGGCACGCATGGCCACCGAGAGGGGGAAGGTGG